ATTCAATACGGGTGGACTGGGAGCCCCAAAGAACAGCTAAACCACCGCAGGCATGACGGGGTGTTGCTGTGTTGAGCGCCGACAAGCGGATTCCAACTCGTAGTGACCCTGTGTGACAGGGCACCACCGCCCCATAGGATTTCTTGGCTGTAATCTTTATGGGAGCAGACTGCCGGCTCTTTCTCCCACGGAGCCCAGGGTGGGTTCAAACCGCGAACCTTTCGGTGAGTAGGCAAACCCTTCACCATCGTGTGCCGCCAGGGCTCCGTATGATGGGTGAGGCACCTCCAACCAAAGCAGAGCACGGTCATGACATGGTTCTCAATGGCACACAGGCACGGCTCTGCGACAGGACTGACCCTTCCCTCTCAGTCCTGACCGCATCAGGGAGAAAGCTCCCGTGTGGGGCCAGTACGGTCTCCACACTTCTCCAGCAATCAGTAATCCCCCTCTTGAATGCGCAGGAAGAGCAGGCCGATCTTTCAGGGGCTTTGGCAGACGATGAAATCCAGCTAGAATCTGAGGGCATTGTTGTGTCTTCGATGTATTTATTTTTATACTGACTTTCTGTTTTTGGCATGCGGTAATTGGTTTTCTGCTTACAACGGGGTATGAAGTTTCTGTTTTAAATTATTTTATTCGACGGAAAAAGTCTATTGATTTAAAGAAAAATATAAAATGAAATACTGCAAGAGGTGTGTGGTTAAGACAAAGAAAACTTGCAGGAGCCACGCAGGAGGTACGCGTTGCGCCTGGAGAGACAAAACCCTCGCCTCTGATGGCTGAGCTGTTGGGGCGGTCGGTGGGCACAAGAGCCGAGGCAGGGAGGCGTGGGAGGCACGTTCCAGGGGAAAAGGGACAGTTCATCCTGACAAGTGCCCGGGCCACGTGTGATGTGGTGGTAGAAGACAAGGCTAGAAGGTAAACTGAGGCCGAGTTGCAGAGAGAACTGAGGTCTGGGGGAGGTATCCGGACATTCCCCTGTGACCGTGGGGATCCACTAGAGGTCCCCAGGCCCTGTGCCTAGTAGAAGGGGGCCCATCCCCAACACAGGGCTGGTTTGGGGGAGGAGGGGAGACGAGCTGGGACGTGTAGGCCCTGAAGCAGAGGAACTGCCTCAGCGCCACCAACCTCAGGGAGGCCTGAGCACGTACCCAGCACCCCTAGGAGGATGTGGCTTATCACCAAACTGTCCCTTCCAGACGCCCTACTGGGGCCAAGAACGGAGCAATGCACAGCATACTCAGCCTAGGAGGCAGGTGTGGGCCCAAGCAGGCTTTTATGATGGAGATACATATTGCCATATATGGAATGAAAACTTCTAGGGAAAAGGAAAAAGGGGGAAAAAAAAAGATTGGACTAGGCTTAAAGAAAAAAAGACCCAAAGATATAGCCTAAACAAAGCACACCCGGGCCTGTGAGCCTGCCTCCCAGTCTGCTAGCCATATGGTGTGTGATAAGCCAGAACGCTTTTATTTATCTTCCTGGACTTGTCTGTAAAGCAGAGGGAGCCAGCCCCCCTCTCCTGGAGCAGAAGCCAGCCCGGCTAGCAGCTCCCAATCCCCAGGCCCTGCTCCCGGGGTGGGGCAGGGCGAGCCAGCTGCCGGCCACCCCTGCCCCCCGCCCCGCTGCCCACCACAGCCCCACACCAGCCACACCTCCACAGCTGCTTTCCCACACCTGGAAATCCACAGGCCATGCCTGTCACGTCCTCAGCCCGCTGTGCCCCACCACGGCCAGCGCGCTGCTATCCCTCCGCTCGGGGCGTCTGACCCGGCCCAGAGGGTAACAACGAGGAGAAAGACACTTTCCTAGTAGCCATAGATTACCAAAGCAGCTCTGGTGGCGCCATGGTTGAGCGCTCCGCTGCCGACCAAAAGGTTGGTGGTTCAAACCCGCCAGCGGCTCCGAGGGAGAAAAGACCTGGCGATGTGCTCCTGTAAAGACGACAGCCTACAAACCCCAGGGGGCAGTTCTACTCTGTCACACGGGGCTCCTGTGAGTCAGAATCTTCATGAGAGCAGATGGCCAGGTCTTTCTCCCGTGGAGCCTCTGGGTGGATTTGAACCCCCGACCTTTTGACTAGCAGCCAAGCACTTCTGTAAAGTTAACAGTCTAGAAAACCCTGTGGGGCAGCTCTGTTCTGTCACATGAGGTTGCTGAGTCAAAAATCGACTCAACGGCACACAACAACAACAGCGTAGATGATCCACCATCTTGAGCGGGGCCTGACAGAGATGTCACCTCTTGAATCATAAAGGCCTCAAAAGCCTCCATCTCTTCACGAGAAAACAGCCGTCCAATAACTATATCCAAACTGTTCTAAGTCCAACTTCACTAAAGCCGGCTTGACCTCTTACACTCTCCCTAAAACGACCCAGAGAATCGCAGAAAGCTTTGTAAGCCCTGTCCTCAGCCTCCAAACTCCTCTGACACCATCTCTCTCTCTCTTCCTGTCGGCCGTGTTGTGACTGAATACAGAAGTGGTGCTCCTGGAGCGCAGGCTCACGAGCTGAGTTTGCCAACAGGACGGTCAGTTAAACGTGAATTTCAGGTAAACAGTGATTTCTGTTTGTTGTGTAAGTATAGCCCACGCACTATTTGGGACATACTTACACAGTAAAGCCTAAGAAAGCCGGAACCTGTGGAAGGGCCACCTGTGAGAAAAGGAAAACTCCGACATCTTCCACTAAAAGGAGACCAAGACTGCACCTGTCAAAGGCGGAACACCTGCGAGACGTGGAAACACGAGACGTTCCCGTCGAGTCTCCACACTCCCACACTCACTGTACTAATGGAAGTGTTAGCTGTTTATCTGGAATTCAAATTTAACCGGGAGTGCTGCGTTTTTATTTGCTAAATCTGATGAGCCTGGACATCGTGACATAGTAGGGCTGTTGCTCAGACAGCGCTGCTCTTCTCAGCTAACCTCAGAGGCTGCCACAGAAAGAACCCCACCTTTGGCCTGCACCTCAAAGCTGTGCCCCGTATGCAAAGGCCCACAGGCCTGTCTGGCCCTATCTCACAGCCAGCACCCCTGGTAGCTACAAGCACAGGGTAGCTTCTCACAAAGCCAGACTTCGCAAAGAGGCCTGAAGGAAAGCATTTATGGCATGAGAAAGCTCTGTCCCCAGCAAGCTGGAAATACCAAGCACGGGCACTTAAAGGTCTGGAGTGTTTGGAGGGGAGCGGTCCTGGGCAGCCTCACCCACCAACCCCCTCCCCAGGACTCCCACGAGCCAATGTCATCTAAAACCTAGAGTGGTAAGTGGCTGGCTGGCTTAACAGAGCATGAACAGCTTTAAAAATGGCCTTCACCTGGGGCCTGAGGGCAGCTGGTCTGGGCAGGCCCCGACAGGAGTCCTGGCTGAGGACACAACCCGGCCCCACCGAAAATCATCCCAGGGGTGTGAACTCACGGGCTCTGGGCCAGACCAAGTGCCCGTGGCGTGTGGCCATTTCTCCATACACAGCCCAGAAGCATCTAGAAGCAGCTGCTAGTCTCCTACTCCGGCACTAACAACACAATAATAGAATATCCTTCATCTCCAATCTCTAGACTATTTTTGCTATCAGCCAGAAATCCACTGGCTGATAACATTAGGTTGAACTATATGAAAATACCACTTTTATAAGTCAAAAATGTTAGAATATTGGCAACTACACGTGGCCGGACAAAATAATATTGCTGAGTGCTCACTGCTATATGTCAGACACCATGCAAGGCTCTTTAAGTATATTCATTGTGAAATATTTAATTCTATGACCACCTTTCAAGGTAGGTATTACTGTGCGCATTTCAGAGATGCAGAAACTGAGACACAGAGAGGTCAAAGACTCATCCAGGTGGATACACACCCGGGGGAGCCTGACCCCCAAACCCGCATTCGCTCTACACGGCATGGGTCACACGGGTTCTTCCACCTCCTGTGCTCTCTGGCTCTGCCTTGGGTCAGCAGCTGCCCATTCTTGCAAACCCAGGCACTGCCAGGACTCTCACCGGACTGGCACCTGCCTGTGCAGAGGGCACTCTCGGGCCAGTCAAAGCCTCATCTCCTGAATTAGCAGCAAAGTGTGTTTAAGAAACAGCCTCAAGAGGAGAAAAACATTCAAAAGCTTACTTAGACCAAGAGAGGAAAAGAGTAAAAAAGTGAACTCCTGAAACAAACAGAAAGTAATCAAGGGAGAAAAACCTAGTCCAGCCCATTTTAAAATGCCTTAACTGTGACCATGAGCTAATGTGTGGTGGATCACTGAGAAAGGCATCAGGTGCAGTGTGATCAAGCATCACCTCAGACCCAGGGGCTCTCCTCTAAGACAACTCCTGGAGCCTCAAAGATGGGAGGAGGTGAAAACCGTCCCAAAAGAACAAGTAAAGGCCAGAGACTGTCACTGGCTTTCTGCGTCAGAGGCTGGGACAACTCAGGAAGATAACAGAGCTCTCAGACTCCAGCTCTTTTAGAAAAACAGAACATTCTCCTACTTATCACCAAGGTGTGCCTGACTCAAGCCACGGTGTTTTCAATCTCCTCATATTCTTCCAAAAGATGGACAATTAATAAGGAAGACTGAGGAAGAATTGATGCCTTTGAATTACGGTGTTGATAAAGAGTATTCAGTATACCATGGAGTGCCAGAAGAACAAACAAATCTGTCTTGGAAGAAGTACAGCCAGAATGCTCATTAGAAGCAAGGAAGCCTACACTCTGTCTCATGTACTTTGGATATGTTATTAGGAGGGACCAGTCCCTAGAGAAAGACACCATGCCTGGTCGAGTTAGAGGGTCAGCGAAAAAGAGAAAGACCCTCAATGAGATGGACTGACACAGTGGGTTCAAGCATAACAACGATTGTGAGGATGGCACAGGACCGGGCAGTGTTTCGTTCCAATAAAAATTTGAAAGTCAGAGGATAAGTAATGCCCAATAAAAGAGGTTTCCACCTGTTGCAATAAGCATCTGTAGAGATCAAAGCTTGAGGACCAAGCAGAAAGGACTGACCTTCACGTGGGCCAGGTAGTGATGGCATGTCTCCTCCAGGTGGGCCAGCTGCAGCTTCTCTGTGACCTGGCCCACGGTCTCTCCCAGCAGCACAAAGTAGACCCTCGGCAGCTGGCCCTTCTCCTTTTTGGCCACATCAGCCGTCAGAACGTAATTCAGGCCTGACGATAAACGAGAGGTCAAAACGTTAGAGACAGACAGGCAGTAACGAGGCCACCTCCACCCCACCTTAGAGGTCTTCTTTCCTATTCACAGGGCCACATCTGCGTTTCACATGATAACTGGCCCTCCACTGCACGGTGGACTGGGCCACATGCGTGTTTCACACGATACCTGGCCCTCCACTGCATGGCGGACTGCAGCCCAAGTCAAAACCTCAAAGAGAAGCATGGCAGCCAGGGTGCTCAGGGTCTCTAGAGACAGCCAGGATGTCACTCGCCTTTCTGGTGACGCTCTGCGTTTCACACCGCATGGGTCTCCTTGATCTGATATTAAACCTCATAGGTTATCAACTGAGCCATCAATATGCATATCAATAATTAATTGTGCCTATCCCCAAGACTACAGCCCCCAGACACCCCTCTAACTCAGAACTGAAGCCACTCGCGAAGTCGACCCTTCAGCCAAAGAATAGACAGGCCTATAAAACAAACAATAAGACACGTGAGGAGCTGCTGCTCAGTTCATTCAAGTCTATGAGACCAAATGGGCAACACCCGCCCAAAAGCAGAGACGGCAGGAAGGGACGCGAGAACTGGACGGATCTGCTTCCGTAAAGATTACCGCCAAAAAAATCCTAAGGAGTAGTTCTACTCTGTAACACATGAGCCAGAATCTACTCAGCCACAACAGGTCTGTTTTTTGCTGGTTATCATCTCAACAGGAGTCCCTGAGTCTTTTAACGTGCTCTGCCGCTGAACGAAAGGCTGCAGGTTTCAGACCACCCAGAGGTACCTCGGACAAAAGGCCTGGCGATCTACTTCCAAAAAATCAGCCACTGAAAACCCTGTGGAGCACAGTTCCACTCTGACACACATGGAGTCACTCAGCGGGCCCTGCTTTACCATTTCAACGAAAGTATGAGCACAGTGGGGCCTGTACTGAGGCCTACTCCTGAAAGACACGGTCATCACCTCTACCTGGTCAGCAATGCCTACTGTGACGACTGTCAGAATATAGAACGCCTCTGGTCCACTGAATAAACCCAAAGGGTTCGTAAACACATAACAATGAGTTGTATTAGCTATAGCTTTAGTATTAATAGGCCTATTTCACTGCTTTTCTGTGCCCAGAATCCCATTACAGCAGCTACTCACACTTCGAGTTCAGAGGAAGGGGCATTTGAAGAGACAGGACAGGACCTTCTCTCACTGAAACAACCATATGAATTGCAGAACAATGGAAACGCAGATGGCCCAGCCCCCACGCGTCTCCACACCAGCCTCCTAGAGGCCTTGCCCTGGCACCAGCCCACACCTGCCGGCATGTAAGCACGGGAAGCCTGGGCAGCAGGGACGGCTCTGGTTTTTAATAACATCAAAGGGATGGCTACTAGGGCAGATGTGAACGGGGAGAGAGGAGCGGACACCGTGCCGCTGCCCGGGAGCACACTTTGATACATCTGACGGCCTTCCTGGGCCTCTGCCATCTCAGGGATCTTGCCGTGCCAAAGCTGGCCATTCCTGGTCAGCAAGGGCAAACCTGCCCCAACTTGCGTGTTTCCGCAAACAGCTGATTTCCAAAGTAAGGCTGGGTTCCAGAAGGACCCCAGACCTAGACAATCCCAGGAGATATCATTTAGAAGAAAAGAATGCATGTGCAAAAGCTCTTTAAGAGAGAAAACCCAGAGCCCGTACACGTGTTACAAACCCACTCTGATGGGGATACTACAGGAAACGGGGCAGGCTGTCAAAGCCTGAAGGCATGCTAGGGACCATCTGGTCCAAAGCCCTCCTTTCTCAGATGAGGGAACGAAGGCCTCAAGAGGAAACAAGACTTGCTCCAGGCCACGCAACTGTCCACCTTGGAGCTGAATCCAGAGCTCAGCTTCCCAGAATCTGGTGCCGGGCTATTCCTACCACACCGGTGCTTGGTACATTTTTCACATCGTTGTTGTCAGCTGCCATTGAGTCGGTTCCAACTCATAGCAACGCTGTGTATGACAGAACGAAGCCCTGCCCGGTCCTGCGCCATCCTCAAAATCGTTGTTATGCTTGAGCCCATGGTTGCAGCCACTGTGTCCATGCATCTCGTTGACGGTCTTCCTCTTTTTCACTGACCTTCTAACTTCACCAAGCATGATGTCCTTCTCCAGGGACTGGTCCCTCCCGATAACATGTCCAAAGTATGTGAGACGAAGTCTCGCCATCCTCACTTCTAAGGAGCATTCTGGCTGTACTTCTTCCAAGACAGATTTGTACGTTCTTCTGGCAGTCCACGGTATAGTCAATATTCTTTGCCAACACCATAATCCAAAGGCATCAGTTCTTCTTTGGTCTTCCTTATTCATTGTCCACCTTTCACATGCATATGAGGCAACTGAAAATACCATGGCTTGGGTCAGGGACACCCTAGTTCTTAGAGTGGTATCTTTGCTTTCGAACTCTTTAAAGAGGTCTTCTGCAGCAGATTTGCCCAGTGCAATGCATCATTTGATTTCAGATCGCTGTTTCCATGGGCACTGATTACCACCTTACTCGACAAAAATTTCAGGGTTAACCGCACAGACTGTAGAACCAAACAGAACCAAATAGGTGCAGAGATCTAGATCTGGCCAATTTACTTTCTAAGGACCACAGCTTCCCTGAGCAATAACCAGACAGTCAGAAGGGGTAAGTATAAATAAAGTCCCCAAGTTCTGCTCAACAAGATCATGGCTCAACGAGGCATTGCTAGGAGACGAACCAGAGGCTCACTGGATAAACCAATATGGCGGCGGCGGCAGCTGCTGAGCAGGGTCTCCTCCGCAGCCCCACGCCCACCTTCCTCCCAGGCAGGAGAGCTACACTGCCCCCCCCTCAGGAAGGGTGATCATGGAGGCACCAGCGGGTTTGAGCAACCTTGCCCGGAATGAGCAGCTGAGCTTGGAGAAAGCCTGAGTGGAAATGAGCATAGGACGACAAAGTAGATGCTACCAGGGCTCACCCATGTCTCTGCTCTCCGGCCCAAACACAGCCACCTGCACCTTCTCCCGAGGGCTTTCTCTGGTGGCTCCGCCCACATGCATGGCGGGCCAGAAGTGCCAGGGAACCAATGTCCCTGAAACCAAAACCCGAAACCAAACCCACTGTCGTCGAGTCGATTCCCACTCGTAGCGACCCTACAGGATGGAGTAGAACCGCCCCATAGGGTTTCCAAGGCTGCAAATGTCTACAGAAGCAGACTGCCACATCTTTCTCCACGGAGCCACTGGAGGATTCCAACCACCGACCTCTCAACGAGCAGTCAAGTGCTTTAACCACTGCGCCACCAGGGCTCCTTAATGGCCCTAAAGCAGCTCTCAATCAATGCAGGACCCCAGCTCCCTCGCCTCTGGGGTGGGATAGCTCCGGGGTGTGGTCTACGCTGACACCCAGAGTCCCAGCAGGATAACGCCCAGCTACCCACAGCAACAACCTGCTCAGTAACATGCCCTTCATCCGGCTGCCTTCCCTCCCTGTCTCACTGCTGGATAAACTGTGTGCCCCCAAACCCTCAACTCAGGGTCTGCTTCGGGGAGAACCCAAATTAAGATGGGGCAAGCCAGAAAAAGGGAAAGAAACTGACCTTTGATGTGCCAAGTGCTTGCTAGGTACTTTATGGGTTTGGTTTGGTTTTGGGGCTTTACAAACATGAGAAGCCCCGGTGGCACAGTGGTTAAGTGCTCGGCTGCTAACCAAAAGGTCAGCAGTTCAAACCCACCAGCCACTCCTTGGAAACCTTATGGGGCTGTTCTACTCTGACCTATAGGGTCGCTATGAGTAGGAACTGACTTGACGGCAATGGGTTTGGCTTTGGTTACAAACATCAGCTCTAGTCCTCCAAAGCCCCCAACCTCCCTTCCCGCCTCACTGTGGAATAGCTGACCCTGTACATCTCTCTCCCAAGCTAACCAGTACCAGCTGCCGCTGAGCTGACTCTGACTCACGGTGACCCCATGTGTGTCAGAGTAGAGCTGTGCTCCATAGGATTTTCAGTGGCTGATTTTTCAGAAGCAGATGGCCAGGCCTTTCTTCTGAGAAGCTCCTGGGTGGACTGGCACCTCCAATTTTTCAGTCAGCAGCTGAGTGCATTAACTAATTGCACCACCCAGGGACTCCCTCCCAACTTAAAGGAGGGTAGAAATCGCTTAGGGTTCACAGAACCTGCGCTGAGCAGAGGTGCCCGCCGCTCTGCTCACAGGTGGGGGTGGGTGCGGGCATGGTAACACAGTCGCCCATCAGATTCTCCCAAAATGTTACAATGTGCGATCACAGGCCAGCGAGTCAGCCCCAGTCACCAAGTGCAATCATTCTGGAAGCATTTCATCTCTAGGTCTGCCTACTTGGAGCTTCCCCCTTGGCTGACAATTTCTTTTGACATTTTAAATTGCCCAGAAAGAAGTCATGTTTGTATCAGACTCTCTGTTCTAGAAGCAAGCCATGAGGACCCCCAGGATGAGAAATCCTGCCTGGGTGACTGTCTTGTGGCTGCCAGAGTGGCAAGAAGAAACGCAGGCCATATGAAGCCCTGAGCGCGCCTGGCGGCTTAAACAGCACCCACCCGGAGTGCATCATCGGAAAGGAAGCCCCTAGAAGAAGGGGAGGAGGTCGGGGGGAGCAGTCAATCCACTCGCTCGGTTCAGGGCTGGGGCCCCCAGAGGGCGGGCACGTCCAGCTGGCCAAGTCCCAGGCAGTGGTGATGTGGTGCAAACCAAAAACGCCAACCCCCTGCTGTGCGGTCGACTCTGCCTCATAGCGGGCAGCTGCCCCTAATGCAAGCCAGCCCCAGCCCGGGGAGGACGCTGGCTCTGATCAGGGCCTGCTCCAAACAGCACATCTCACTTCTTCAAGTTTCCCTTCTGGCAGCCTGTGCTCCATGCCATGTCGGATGATGTCATGTTGATGGAAAAGCTGATGGGCCTCGAGTAACGCTTTCAGCCGCCTCCTTCCCTGCCCCCCACTGGTCCCCGAGGGGCCCCCCC